AACCCTCCCTAACCTACCACACATTGTCTTGGTAACCTGCCTGTAAGTATATTGTGATTCATTTCACTTCATTAAAAAGTTGGAGATCTCCAAGTCCAATGCAAGAAAGTTAGATCTAAAAAAACAAAATGGAGAAAATATCTGACATAGGGGGGCTCCACCCACAGCCCCCCACCCTGGCAGTCACAGATGAGAGTAAGTCTACTAAGACATGATCTGCTTGGGGAGGAAAGGTGGCGATCTCTCACAGGAGAAGGACCAGGAGCCTGTTCCTCAATGAGCTTTTATTGGGTTCATTGGCACAAGAATACAGGTAAAGCTCATTAATTATTATCAGGTAGTAAGGATCAAACAATAGATAACAAAGAACTCTGAGGGCCTATTTTGAGTCAGGGTCAGATAGCTAAAGAACTATAAAACTTTGAGGAACAAACTCACTTCTTGCTTGGACCCTTATTTAATTGAAAGCATTCTAAACAAAGCAGGTTTCACAGGATTTTACATATTCTTTCTTAGGCCTGATTGCCTGAGGAACCTGCCCTTTCCAGCACAGGGCTGCACTACCCTCTGTCACTGTTTCAGGCTTAAATCAGGCAGGGGAAGTAAGGCAGCCAAGAGATTAGGAGACTTCTTGCAGACGGAATGAGGACTTAGGCTTTGTCAAAGCCGAGGGGTGAGGGTCCATCACCCCCTTTTGCTGTAGCCCCCAAGGTCCTTCCCTGGGGGCCTCCCACATGACCGTGCCTGCCTTAGAACGTTCCCCCCTTTGGGGAATCTTGCCCATCTTGGCTAACCGATCAAGCATTGGGGGCCAGGCAGGGTGAAGTAAAAGGAACAGAAGCCATACTCCTGCCTCGGAGATACGCTTTTGTCTCCTTAGTGGCTTACAGTCCAAGGTTGCTCCCTCAGCCTTAGCCTTGGCGGGGGTTACAGCTTCTGAAACCAGGCAGGGCAGTTCCCAACAATCAGATAGTGTTATTCTAGAAGTAAAATAGAGGGAAAGGCCTTATAGCATTATTTTTGAAGCTGCTTACTCGATTTTCCACAGCCTTTCAATATGTAAAATTTCAAACATGCATACAAATATTTTGAAATAATTGTACAGTTAAAACCCACATACCAACCACCTAGATGATAGAAATAACATTTTGCTTCATTTACATTGTTGCATACTCATTCATCTTTGTTGCCTATGTTTTTAAAATAGTTGTTTTGTCATCCATTAGGATCTTATCTGTATCTGACCCATCATGGTGCTGAAAAAATAGTTCTTTTTGATTCTTATCTGTATTTTCCAAGTTGGCATGGATACCACTGTAGCATAATTATGTATAAGCAGATCTGCTTGGAAATGAGAGTCCCAGGGGCAGAAGCCATTTTGTTTCTGAAAGAAAATGGTTGCAGCTCGTTGTTGTTTACTGGAAATAGTATGTTGGGAACTGCCCTGACTGGTATCAGAAGCTGAAACCCCTGCCTAGGCCAAGGCTAAGCGAACGCCCTTGGAACCGTAAGCCAGCAAGGAGACAAAAGCTTATCTCCCTGGCAGGAATGCTGCTTCTGCTGCTTTATTAATAACTGAACCCCAAAAAGTTTGGTTGGTTAGCCAAAGACGGGTAAGATTCCCCAAGGGGGGAACGACCTAAGACAGGCACGATCACTTTGGGAGGCCCCCCAAAGAAGGACTTGGGGGGCTGCAGCAAAAGGGGGTGATGGACCCTCGCTCCTCGGCTTTGAAATTGCCTGAGTTCTCATCGTCTGGGAGAAAATCTCCTTATCTCTTGGTTGCCTTAGTTCCCGTGCTCCACCTAAGCCTGAAACAATGACAGGGTGGTGCAGCTCTGTGCTGAAAAGGGCGGATTCCCCGGGTGATCAGGCCTAAGAAAGAATATGTAAATTACTGTGAAACCTCCTTTGTTTAGAATGCTCTCAGTTGAATGAGAGGGGTCCAAGGAGGAAGTTAGTTTGTTCCTGAAAGTCTTACAGCTCTTTGACCCCGACTCAAAATAGACCGGCAGAGTTCCTTGTTTTCTATGGTTCCTTAATTCCCCCTAATGAGCACTGTACTTTACCTGAATTATTATGCAAAATGAGCCAGATAAAAGCAGGTATGGACGGTAAATCAGCGCGCTCCCCACTAGGGGGGGTGGCCATTTCGTCCCTACTTCTCCACAGAAACTGGTCTGTCTCTGTGCATGTTTTTTCTCGTGTGTTTTTTCGGCGAGCCATCCGCAGCGTTCCGTGGTCACTGCTGGCCATGGACCCACGCATCAATAGTAGGAGAAGAAAAGATGGAAGAACTGGTACAGTATCAATGAATCCTCCCAACAATGTACCACCCTATACTTCATTCACTTCACTGGCTTATGGGGCAGGTGGTTTTCTGAGTGGCTTCCACATGGTTCTTTACAATGAATTCACATCAAATGCCAACTGAGGTGATACTCAGCATTAACACAGCTCCTTGGACTTTTAGCAAATACATTTTTTTAAAAAGATTTTATTTATTTATTTTCAGAAAGAGGAAGGAAGGGAGAAGGAGTGGGAGAGAAACATCAGTGTGTGCTTGCCTCTCCTGAGCCCCCAACTGGGGACCTGGCCCACAACCCATGCATGCGCCCTGACTGGGAATTGAACCAATGACCCCTTGGTTTGCAGGCTGGCACTCACTCCACTGAGCCACACCAGCCACGGCAGCAAATAGATTTTTAATTTAGACTACTATGTAATACTATTCTTTTGGACCTTTTCTGTTAAAAGTAACTGTACAGTTGATTAGGAAGCACCACAAAGTGAAATGTTATTTATCTTTATAATAATGGTGAATATTACCTTTTTGTGTCTATATCCATCCCTGCATTTAAGCTCAAGGGCAAAAGCCCTATTTTACTCATCTTTGTAGTTCTCTTAGTAGTAAATGCTTATATTCATAAAATACATTATTACATTTAAAACATCACATGAGCAAAGACATAGGCAGTATATTTTTAAAAACGCTACAGAACAGTAGTATGGTTTCATCTAAGTTTTGTGAAAAAAAATTCGTGTTTGTATATGCACATGAAAGTAATTAGGAGAAAATGCCATAAGTGTTAAACTTTCTGGGATTCTGGGATTTTTACTTTCTATCTTTTAATGTATTTCTGTAATCTTTAAAAAAATGTGCCTGTATGGCTCAGTGGATTGAGTACTGGCCTATGAACCAAAATGTGCCTTTATGACTTTCAAAATTAGGCAAACATTGAAACTATTTCCATTTTGAACTTTGTTGACTTGAACAAAAGTAGAATAAATGGGGTGGTGAGGGGGCTAGAAACTGGGGCAATTTAGTTTGGAAAAGAGCTGGGTGGTGTAGGAGAAGGGAATGCTGGGAATAAGATTTCTGTCTTGAGAGGAATGTACTAAGTATCAACTACTCTATTCTTGGTCCTTAGTGCAGGCATTTTCATGTATCAGAGTTTACGCTTACCATTTATTTCCCAATTAGACCCTCTACACATTCCTTTAATTGCTAGTGGCAGCAGATGCTTGTGGGCATGCAGATCTTGCTCTAGTAATGGCTGCTTTACTTTATCCAATAAAGAGATGGCTCACCTGACTTGTATAGCTCAGTGGATTGAGTGTGGGCCTGCAAAGCAAAGGGTCACAGGTTCGATTCCCAGTCAGGGCACATGCCTGGGTTGCGGGGCCAGGTCCCCAGTAGGGGGAACGCAAGAGGCAACCACACATTGATGTTTCTCGCCCTCTCTCCTTTCCTTTCCCTCTCTCTAAAAATAAAATAAACAAAATATTTAATAAAAAAAGAGATGGCTCAAATCCATCAAGGCTCCTGTTCCTGGTCACCTGCCCCCGCCCCACACACACACACACACACACTCACACACACTTTTGGCAGCACAAATCTGTAGTAGGAGAGCTTTTTGCTGGGGTCTCCTGATCATGAGTAGACAAAAGGACATACTTTTCTGCTGGTGGTGGGTAAAATAGTTAAAAAGCCCTGAGAATTTTTTTTTCTAGGATTTAAGGTTTGCCTGCCTCACACTGAGTACAGGAAACCTAGTTGCACTAGCTGATGCTGCCAGCATCTAATGATAATAATTAATAGCCTGGGCTTTGTTTGGGCCATTGCTGAATTGCCAGAATCCTGGGTTGCTTTTCATGCTAAGCAGTTAGGAACTGGGAAACCTAGAGGCAATAATAGGTGCTTCTTTACAAAGAAGCACCCTTTGGGGTTGTCTTTGGCTTATCCTGTGTAACTCTCATGTCTCAGAGCCCTATTCCTTCTAGTGTTTGAGTCTTGGAGATAAAGGACTAGCCAAGGGCCTATATAGCTCCTTGTGATTCTTTTTGTAATGCATGCAACTAATAGGGGAAACGATATGTTCAATTCCTTTTCATATATGGGTAAGGTGAGTCCTGGTGGGAGTTGAGATTGTAAATAACAGGCGTTGGTACAGAGCCGAGGGTTTTATTACCTTTTTTCATCAATGTGAACCAAATAACATCTGATTATTAGATGGAAGTTTCATTAATTTTTACGGGGCTCTTTTATTCAGGAGTACAGGGCAAAAGGTCATAACTGCCTGACATACATAGAAGGACCTGTAAGAAATCAAGTTTACCTGTATTCAAACACAGGAATATTGAGATCTAAAGAGGGAAGGACTTGCAGGCAGCTAAAAAGGTCACCATCGGAGTTCACATCTGAGTTCTAACACTTTTATACAGTTCCTTGGTGACTCTGTACCCAAGTTATGAAAGTTTTATCTTATTTAAAATGGAGACAAAAATCCTTATTAAATAATTATACACAGGGTAGCAGCCTTTGTCAGATAAAGAACATATTTGTGATGCTAATAATAATGCTTAGTACAAGTGAAATCTAAGGTTCATGGTGTGGGCTGGATGACTTGACTAATGTGGTAAAAGTAAAATTAAAACAAGGTTTCAAACCTTGACTATCTGTCTTACATGTTTTCTTCTTCCTTCTCCCAATCTTACAGGTGACAGTGAATGCAATCAAAACCCATGCCACTGGTGAAGAAGTATATTGAGCCCTGCCTGCCCCAGTGAGGTTACTAGAGAATTAGGAGAGGCTCAAATCAGCATCTTGTGTGTGGTTGTCAAACCATTCTGAAGCCTTGGTAAGTGGTCAGTGGCTTTGGTGGGCTTGCCAACTTAGTCAGAAAGGGCAGGAAAGGTAGTCTTAATAACCACTAGGTGATTAAACACCTGATGTTTTTCTATTATGATATGAAAAAAGGTCTTAAAATATTCAAACTACACTTGAAAGTAATCAGCCTAATCTCTCCTTTTCTCATTCTCCCATTTTTTACAGATAGGACAGTTGGATGTCTTTCTCAACATTGTAGCTAGTTGGTGTCGAAAATGGATTTGAATCTAAACCAGTACTGTACTTCCTCTAGACTACATCTAAGTCCAGGAAGGCCATGTGAGACAGAACATTTTTATTCCACACTAAAAGATTTTTATAATAGCCTCTGAAATTGTGCTCCACTGATGAAGGAAATTTCCATGGTGTAAAACTTTATTGTGCATAAAATCACCTGGGGTGTTTGTTAAAAATGCAGATTCCTAGGCAGCCAGAACTTGTCATTGGTCAAGAGCAACACTAAAGCCTACCTGTCACTAATACTGAGGCTTTCTGGTCAGTGAGTTCCAGCAAGCCACAGTGAATCACCATTGCTTTGGATGTTCTTGTGAGGCAGTTGGGAAGCCTTTGGTAAGTTGGTGGTCTGGGTGGGGTTGTCCAGGTACTGGTAGAAGAAGAGATGATCATAATGCAACACTTGTCCCCTTCCTTCAACAGACAGTTATTAAATGCTTACTAAGTGTCAGAGCCTGTTCTAGATATTAACAAATTTCTGCCATCATGGAACTTTCATTCTTGTGAGAGTAGACAAAGAAATTAATAACAAATAAATGCATAATGTATTATAACTGTTAGGAGAAATTTTTTCATTCTGGTGTGAAAGTTGCATTAAAAATAGTTGGGTTGGGCTATAACACCTTGCATTTCCCCCCTCCCCATTGCCCTCTCTTTATTGTTATTCTATTACACTTGTCCCAGTTTTTCCCCCTTTAACCTCCTCTGCCCAGCACACCCACTGTTCTCACAGTCCATGTCCATGGGTCATTCATATATGTTCTTTGACTAGTCCTTTCCCCTTCTTTCCACCATTATCCCCCCCACCCCCATCTGACGGCTGTCAATCTGTTTCATGCTTCTATGTCTTTGGTTCTGTTTTGCTCATTAGTTTACTTTGTTCATTAGATTCCTCTTGTAAGTGAGGTCATATGGTATTCGTCTTTCACCAAATGGCTTATTTCACTTAACATAATGCTCTCTAGTTCCATCCATGCTGTTGCAAAAGGCAGGAGTTCTTTCTTTCTGCTGCATACTCCATTGTGTAAAAGTACTGCTGTTTTTTGATCCACTCATATGCTGATGGGCATTTAGTCTGTTTCCAGCACTTGCCTATTGTAAATTGTGCTATGAACTTTGGGGTGCATAGGTTCTTCTAAATTGATGTTTTGGAGCCCTGGCTGGCGTAGCTCAGTGGATTGAGCGCGGGCTTGCGAACCAAAGTGTTGCAGGTTTGATTCCCAGCCAGGGTACATTCCTGGGTTGCAGGCCATAACCCCCAGCAACCGCACATTGATGTTTATCTCTCTATTTCCCTCCCTTCCCTCTCCAAACATAAATAAATAAAATTTAAAAAATAAATAAATAAATTGATGTTTTGGGATTCATAGGGTATAACCATTTTTAATTTTTGAGAAAAATCAATACTGTTTTCCACAGTGGCTGCACCAGTCTGCATTCCTACCAACACTGTGCAAGGGTTCCCTTTTCTCCACATCCTCACCAGTGCTTGTTGTTTGTTGCTTTATTAAATGATAGCCGTTCTGACAGGTATAAGTTGATATCTCATTGTGGGTTTTTTTAATTTATTTTTAGAGAGGGAAGGGAGGGAGAAAGAGAGAGAGAGAGAGAGAGAGAAACATCAATGTGCGGTTGCTGGGGGTCATGGCCCACAACCCAGGCATGTACCCTGACTGGGAATCGAACCTGTGATGCTTTGGTTCGCAGCCCGCGCTCAGTCCACTGAGCTACGCCAACCAGGGCCCTCATTGTGGTTTTAATTTACATTTCTTTAATGGCTAGCGATGAGTATCTTTTCATATGTCTGTAGGCCACCTATATGTCTTCCTTGGAAAAGTGTCTATTCAGGTCCTTTGCCAATTTCTTACTTGGATTTTTTGTCTTCCTGGTGTTCAGTTGTATGAGTTCTTTATATATTTTGGAGATTAAACCCTTGTCTGATTAGTCATTGGCAAATATGTTCTTCCATGGAGTTGGTTCCCTTTTCATTTTGTTTTTATTTTATTTATTTATTTATTTATTTATTTATTTACTTATTTTTAGAGAGAGGGGAAGGGAGGGGGAAAGAGGGAGAGAAACATCAATGTGTGGCTGCCTCTCATGTGCCCCCTACCCAGGACCTGGCTCACAACCCAGGCCTGTGCCCTGACTGGGAATCAAACCGGCGAGTGACCCTTTGGTTCACAGGCCAGCACTCAATCCACTGTCAGGGCTCCTTTTCATTTTGATGATGTTTTCTTTAGCCATGCAGAAGCTTTTTAGTTTGATGTAGTCCCATTTATTTATTCTTTCCTTTATGTCCCCTGCTGTAGGAGATATATTGACAAAATTATTGCTATGTGGGATATCTGAAATTTTATTGCCTATGTTTTCCTCTAGGACTTTTATGGTATCATGACTTATATTTAGGTCTTTTATCCATTTTCAGTTTATTCTGGTGTGTGGTGTAAGTTGGTGGTCTAGTTTCTTTTTTCTTTTTTCTTTTTTCTTTTGGATGTACCAGTCCAGTTTTCCCCAGACCATTTATTGAAGAGGCTATTTTTACTCCATTTTACGCTTCTGCTCCCTTCCTTGAATATTAATTGACCATAGAGACATGGGTTTATTTCTGGGGTCTCTATTCTATTCCATTGATCTATGTGTCTGTTCTTATGCCAATACCAGGCTGTTTGGATTGCAGTGGCCTTGTAATACAGTTTGAGGTCAGGTATTGTGATCCCTCCACGTTTGTTCTTCTTTCTCAAGATTGCTGAGGCTATTTGGGGTCATTTATGGTTCCATATAATTTTTGGAGTATATATTCTAGATCAGTGAAATATGCCATTGGTACTTTAATAGGGACTGAGTTGAATCTATAGATTCTTTGGGTAGTATGGACATTTTAATTATGTTAATTCTTCCAGTCCATGAAGAGGCTACATGCTTCCATTTATTTGTGTCATCCATGATTTCTTTCTTCAGTGTTCTGTAGTTTTCTGAGTACAGGTCTTTTACCTCCTTGTTTAAATTTATTCCTAGGTACTTTATTTTTGTTATTGCAATAGTAAATGAAATTTTACCCTAGTTTCTCCATTTTCCCTTTACTACCAGCCTTGAATATAGGAGGGTCATAGATGATAAAAGTAATCTTTTTTTCTTTTTGTAACCCTTCACTAGGCTAAATTGTAAAGGATATCTTTGACAAGCATTTTCAGAGAGTTCACCAGATCTTCCATGTGAATGAACGTGCAGCAGGAAAGGGGTCCTCAGTGATTAAGGTAACTAGGGGAAGAAAGCCTGACTTTGCCCTGAATTCTGTTAGGGAGTTTCTTAAAAATATCATTTCTGGGGCCCGATACTTTTAAAGCCTGCAATTTACTCTATAATACATTTTTCTCAAAATAATTGGAGTAGATTATATTCTTTCCAAGTTTGTGATCACCCCTGCTGAGTATCAGAAAAAACTGAAATGGTTCCCACTAAACTAGGAGGCATAAGCTGTGTGTCACAAATAATGTCAACACAACACTAATTACACTTCCCTTGAAGAGAGGATTTTTTCTTTCAAAGCAGACTTGTTGAGAGTTTTTCTTTATCAGACTATGGAGCTGCATACATTTTATTAAAAGTCAGCTCATAGCAAGAGGCTGATAGTTTCAGTGGCAGCCAAGTATATGGCACCTTGGCTTAGTAATTTCCAGAGGCAGCAGGGTCTTCTGAATTGCACTCCTATTAAACCAGTTGGACTAGCGTTCTTTTTTTGGCTCCTTAGGGAACCTCCTTTTAACCCCTAATAGGCTTCAGAGAGTACTGAAATGTCCCATCATTAAAGTAGGCAGCATCTATAAAATGGCCCTTCTTGGGAACAGAGGCCACCCACCCCTATCTTAAGCTCGTAGTGCCTCCATCCAGAGTTAATACCTGAAGGCCAGATCACTCCATGTCATTTTTCATGGAAGTAATAAAGGTCACTTTTTCTCATAAGAATGGTCTTGAGATAGTATCTTCTGAGCATAATGTTCTTGTTATAGATTCTGGAGTACTTGGCTAATTCCTACTGATGGAATTAGGTAGATTAGCCCACAGAGGGAATTCAAATGATAGAAAAATTGGCTTTTACCTAAGGAGAAGCCTGGAATATGAAGGGAGTTGATACAAAGGTAATCCTTGTATTCCCTATCCTCTAGCACAATGTATTTTAAAATGACAATGTTCATGTATACAGATATGAATGTTAGCATGCTGTTTACAAAAAGTCCTCTTGTCTCTTTCTCTGTATGAGGCAAAATGGGTTGTATAAATGTGGCTTTTGCTCACTGAACCTGTTTTTTTCCTAGGACTTTCCTATACTTGTTATCCATCCTCTTTTGTGACAGCAGATCTGTTTTGTTTTGTTTTTTTTCTTATCTTTCTCCTTAGGCTAGTCATGTAGCATCCACACACAACTGTTGAAAATTTCCTTTTTACAATCATGTTAATAGTAGCACTTATCACTTACAAGTGCCTTTTATGTTCTAGGTGAGTGCTTTACACATATTTGTTACCTCATTTTAACTTAACAGTAACTCTGAGAAGTAAAATTTGTTTGTACTTTACAGATAAAAAAACTGAGGACCAGAGAAGTTATGTCACTCACATAACACAGGGAGCCAGGGATGGAGCTATATATGCCACACTTCAGAGATCTTAAAAAAAAATTTTTTTTTATTTTTAAAGTGAGGGGAAAGGAGGGAGAAAGGCAGGGAGAGAAATGTCAATTGGTTGCGTCTCACATGCCTACCAGGGACCAAACTGGCAACCCAGATATGTGCCCCAACTGGAAATCGAACCAGTGACCCTTTGATTTGCTGGCCAGCACTCAATCCACTGAACCTCACCAGCCAGGGTCATACTTCAAAGATCTTAATTACTTCACCATACTCAAAGCACTAGAATGTGGTAGGTGAATTCTAAGTTGTTGGGACTTACTGCCTCCTTGTGGGATCCTCATCAGTGTATTCTTTCAGACCATAGGTGCAAAGGTAAAGAGTTCATTCTCGGCCCTGGCTGGTGTAGCTCAGTGGATTGAGCGCGGGCTGTGAACCAAAGCATTGCAGGTTCGATTCCCAGTCAGGGCACATGCCTGGGTTGCAGGCCATGACCCCCAGCAACCGCACATTGATGTTTCTCTCTCTCTCTCTCTTTCTCCCTCCCTTCCCTCTCTAAAAAAAAAATAAATAAAATCTTTTAAAAAATGAAAAAAGAGGAAGCATTACGTGTATTAAAAAAAGAGTTCATTCTCAAAGGGAGATTAGTTGTGCAAGACAGATGGCGCAAGGGATGTGTAGGTCCCTCTAACTTTTAGAGATGATCACTTTGCATGGACTAGCATTTATTTCTGTTCCACACAGCCATTCACCATTTGTTTACTTTTCTCACCTTTTATATTATTATTACCCCACTGTCCTTCATGATGTTTATGTTAAACAGTTTCTATCAGGTTATCCTTTTCTACACCAAAGAAAGAGGAATCATAAGAATTGGAGTTACAACCCTGGCTGGCGTAGCTCAGTGGATTGAGCGCGGGCTGCGAACCAAAGTGTTGCAGGTTCGATTCCCAATCAGGGCACATGCCTGGGTTGCAGGCCACGGCCCCCAGCAACCGCACATTGACGTTTCTCTCGCTCTCTCTCTCTTTCTCCCTCCCTTCCCTCTCTAAAAATAAATAAATAAAATCTTTAAAAAAAGTTTTCAGTTAAAAAAAAGGATTAGAGTTACAACTGAAAGTCCCATCACTTGCAGAATGTTAATTCAGGTGCAGGTACATCAGGTGCTGAGGTAGCCTGCTGTGCAGATCAGCATATCCTGACTAGAGTTCCACATAAACATTGCATTCTGTTAGCAGACAATACTGGTAAAATTACTTTGTTCATATCATATGGAAAACAGCAACAAATCCTATCAATGAATACTTTCATAAATGTTATTGCTGGTAAGGTAACAGTGTCCAGATAATTAGCATGGACGAGGGATTAGAAAGCTATGCCCCACATGCCAGCTGCTTGTTTTTGTAAATAAACTTTTAAAAAATATTTTATTTATTTATTTATTTGTTTGTTTATTTATTTTTAGAGAGAGGGGAAAGGAGGGAGAAAGAGAGGGAGATAAACATCAGTGAATGGTTGCCTCTCACACACCCCCTACTGAGGACCTGGCCTGCAACCCAGGCATGTGCCCTGACTGGGAATCAGACTGGCAACCCTTTGGTTCGCAGGCCTGCACTCAGTCCACTAAGCCACACCAGCCAAGGCTGTTAATAAACTTTTGTTGGAACTACCATGCTCATTCTTTATTATCCACCACTACCTTTTGTGCTACAGTACAGTTGAGTAGTTGCAACAAGGACCAGATGATCCATAGAACCTGAACTATTACCATCTGCCCCTACACAGAAAGTTTGCCAACTCCTGGCATAGATTAAATGTACTATGTCTACAAATCCTTGTCCACTCCCAACCCATTTTCTTTTCTGTAGGACTTGGATTTATAGCTAATTTTAGAAAGTGTGAAACTCAGAGTACACAATTTGTCCTTTGATTTTTTTCCTACTCAAATTATGCTCACCAAGAAAGCATATTCACAAAATGGGCTTATGTGTACAGAAAGAACTATGTTTTATATGCTTTATTGTAGTTATTTATACATCATATATGATTCTCCCAATTTATTCCTTTTCTGATTAACCATTTTAACATTTAGCTATTCTCAAGTATCCAAAAATTTACAACTTATGTTTCCTAATTATGACTTTACCTAATTTTAATACATTGCCCTGCTCTGAAGCATGAAAGGAGTCATAGACAATATGGAAACAAATTGGCAGGACTGTGTTCCAGTAAAACTTTATTTACCAAAACAGGCAGCAGCCTGGATTCAGCCCATGGGACATAGCACGCGATCCCCACTCTCCGGTATACATATCCAAAGACTTCAGAACAAAAATACTTGAGATGATACATTAAAGCAAATATTCAGGGTGAGTTTTACTCACACTACATGTAATACAATAACAATAACACAGCTATACTCAAATCAGGATAGGAAAGTGTCTTGTGATTGGTGTTTTATGTATAAGACCTAATAGTTATGTAGACATTGGCTGGTGTTCTTGAAGGAGGGAGAGAATCTTTATGGGCCATGTTATTACCATCCCTTGAGGTTCCTCTTCCTTACCATAGTGACTTTGTCTTTATATTCTGTTGTTCATTCTTATACTTACATTATTCGCTCTAGTGTTTACTTTCTTTACCAGCAAATATCTTTTACCCATAAGTGAACCTAATATAAAAGTTACTTTGGATATAAATCGCTATTTTAACAGTTAAGGTGGGGGGGGGGGTTGCTGCGGTTTTGATCATTTGCATGTCAAACCCTAAATTTATCTTTCAGATTTAGAAAGAATTAATCCTTCCATTGAAATCTCAAAATGTGATCTGGATAAAGGAATGGGTATCTTAGTCAAGGAAGTGATTGTTGAATGTGGAGGTAAATTTTTTCTTTGAGCTTTTTGTTGTGTTTGTTATATTTAACAGATTTCCTAATAATGAGCCTACCTTGCATTCCTAGAATAAAATTTTCTACTTTTCAAGGATTTGAATTAGGTTAACTAAATTTGCTGGTTTAAATTTTATTTTTCTGTTTTATTTGATTTTTTTTTTTTACTATTTTGTTTTGCTGTTCAAAAGTGAGTTTTTGTGTTGGGGGGCAGTCTTTGTCAGTTCTTGTGGGCCATATGGTTTCTGCCATTGTAGCATGAAAGCAGCCATAGATAATACATAAATGAAGAATGTGTCTGTGTTTCAATAATACCCTGGTTATAAAAAAAAAACATGGTGGCTGGATTTGGCCCATGGGCTGTAGTTTGCCAATACCTAATCTGTGACATTTTACTCTTAGAACCTTTGCTGTCATAGTTTCTGCTTAGTCATTCTGGGCTTCCTCATGTTTGTGCCTCTCATCTCCCCTTGTAACCTCTTAGAGAACTTTTTCACCTATATTCCTTTTCAAGAGTATCTTCCTAGCAATCCCAACTTTATTGCAAGAAATGGGTTCATTTGGATCAGTTTAAGAAGTTTACAGGAGGGGATGGAATATAAGGGGGATAAATGGTAATGGGAAAAATACAAAAATAACAATCCAATTAAAGAACTTGTTTACAGAATTCGACTGTTGTGGTATCATTAATGTGATTCAGCCTTTTTCCTCTGGTTTTCTGCCTGATATGTTGCCTCTGCTACCAACTAATTTTCTTATACTTTGGCTTCCTCTACCTCCTAGCCACTGAATACTTATGTTTTTTTCTTATTCATAACTTTAGTGTTTGCAACCTTTGTGGACATGGCATTTATTCTACCTCATGTCTCTGTCTGCAGACTATGTGCTTTAGCTCTTGTTCTTCATGTTGCCCAGTTGTCATTAAATTGAGAATCTAATTGCCTTGGGTTGTTAAGTTTCCTGAAACTGTAGAGGTTGTAGTTGCTATTTGGCTGATCTAGGGCATTTTCCCCTATTGAGTGCTAAATGCAAATGTCTTTCTTCCCCTTTGTATGATCCCAAACTGCTTTAGACTAATACAACTCAGCTATCATAGGTATATCCAGAATCATTTAACTGTTCTAAAACTAGAAGATAACCAGAAGAATCATACCTGACTATTTTGGGAAGTAACAGTTTCACAGATAACTACACAATCCTACTTCCCTCATATCCATGAGTCTCTTCCTGGTACTAGCTGGCTTCCTTATTTTCTGTTCTTTATCCTATTGCTGATGGATTGTTTCTGCTTTAGCTTCTGATTCCTGTGCTTACTAACAAGTTGATCTTAATTGTTCCTGGTATGTTCTTTCATTATGTATGCATTCATTTATTTCAGATGCTGAATTTCTGTTCCTCTGTTTTCCCCCAATTTTAAGCTGAATCTAATTTCTTACCTCATACTTGTTTGGGAACAGTGTTCATGTCAAGACATGTCATAGGCTATTGACCAGCTTGTGGATGTCTGTCCTCTGATCCTTACTTACCTTTGATCTGACCAACCACAGATTTGGAGGAGGGATAGTTAGTCACAAGAATGCTTTCTTAGTCAAGCTTGTTTGCAGTAGTTTCCTTTAGAAGAATTTCTGGGCATGGGCAACACTATGACATGTCTACTTGAATAAAGTAGACATCTCTGGTTTAGCTCTCTACAGCTAAACATCTTGTAGTTCTGTACAGCTAGACTACAGAATCTACCAAGTCTCTCAAAGTGTCACCTTCTAGTGTACATAAAATCTAAATTTTGCTCTGTCTGGGTGACTCAGTTGATTGGAGTGTCATCTCATGCACTGTTGCGCGTGGGTCACCGGCCAGCAGTGACCACGGAACGCTGTGGATGGCTCGACGATAAACACGCGAGAAAAAACAACACATGCACAGAGACAAACTAGTTTCTGTGGGGAAGTAGGGACGAAATGGCCACCCCCCCTAGTGGGGAGCATGCCGATTTATAGTCCATACCTGCTTTTATTGGGCTCATTCTGCATAATAATTCAGGTAAAGTACAGTACTCATTAGGGGAAGTAAGGAACCATAGAAAACAAAGAACTCTGCCGGTCTATTGAGTTGGGAGTCAAAGAGCTGTAAGACTGAGGAACAAAATAACTTCCTCCTAAGACCCTTCTCATTCAACTGAGAGCATTCTAAACAAAGGAGGTTTCACAGTAATTTATATGTTCTTTCTTAGGCCTGATCACCCCGGGAAATCCGCACTTCTCAGTACAGAGCTGCACCACCCTGTCATTGTTTCAGGCTTAGGTGGAGCAAGAGAACTAAGGCAACTGGGAGACAAGGAGGTTTTTTCCCAGACGCTGAGAACTCAGGCTATGTCAAAGCCGAGGAGCGAGGGTCCATCACCCCCTTTTGCTGCAGCCCCCCAAATCCTTCTTTTGGGGGGCCTCCCAAAGTGATCGTGCCTGTCTTAGGTCGTTCCCCCTGTGGGGAATCTTACCCGTCTTTGGCTAACGGACCAAGCTTTTTGGGGGTTCAGTCATGAATAAAGCAGCAGAAGCAGCATTCCTGCCAGGAAGATAAGCTTTTGTCTCCTTGCTGGCTTACGGTTCCAATGGCGTTCCCTTAGCCTTAGCCTAGGCGGGGGTTTCAGCTTCTGATACCAGTCAGGGCAGTTCCCAACAATGCACTGAGAGGTCTCAGGTTCCATCCCTGGTTGGGGCATCTATGGGAGGCAACCAATCAGTTCCTCCCTTCCTGTCCCTAAAAATCAGCAAACATCCCTGGGTGAGAAATAAATAAATAAATAAATAAATAAATAAATAAATGTAAAGAAATCTAAATTTCATATCACAATTGTGTTTGTACAACATCTTTTAAATAAAGGAGATTCTCTACAAGATCATAGCCAGTTTCCCAAATTGCATTCCTCCTGAGGGGCTGTTATGCTTCTTACTACTGGTTGGACACTTCTTTTTTTAAAAAAAGATAATTTATTTATTTTCATTTTTTAAGTTTTTTAAAGATTTTATTTATTTATTTTTAGACGGAGAGGAAAGGAGGGAAATAGAAAGGGAGAGAAACAGCAATGTGTGGTTGCCTCTAGCATGCCCCGCACAAGGGAACCTGGCCTGCAGCCCAGGCATGTGCACTGGCTGGGAATTGAACCAGGGACTCTTTGGTTCGCAGGCCAGTGCTCAGTCCATTGAGCCACACTAGCCAGGGCTATTTTCTTTATTTTTAAAAAGTTATTTATTTATTTATTTTTAGAGAGGGAAGGGAGGAAGAGAGAGAGAAACATCAATGTGCAGTTGCTGGGGGCCGTGGCCTACAACCCAGGCATATGCCCTGACAGGGAATTGAACCTGTGATGCTTTGGTTTGTAGCCTGCGCTCAATCCACTGAGCTACGCCAGCCAGGGCTTTTTTTTTTCTTTTTTTCTTTTTTTTAGATTTTGTTTACTTATTTTTAGAGAGAAGAGAAGGGAGACAGAAACTTGAATGTTTGCCTCTCATGCGCCCCCTGCTGGGGACCTGGCTCATAACCCAAGCATGTGCCCTGACTGAAAATCCAACCAGTGACCCCTTGGTTCACAGGCCTGCACTCAATCCATTGAACCACGCCAGCCAGGGTCTGATTGGGCACTTCAGATTGCTAGAAACAAATTCAGTGAGATAATGACAGGCTACTGGCTGGCCACTTGGGAATAATGGTGACTGAGATCACATGAAATTCCAAATATAGGGGACCTTAATATTGTTACACTCCTAAAGGATGGTACCGGGCTCCAGAACAGCTCTGGAAAACTCAGAGGCAGGAGTTTATGGACATTCATTTTAGGATAGTGCTATTTACATAACTGCTACTCTGTCTTTCTGTGTATCTTTTGTGTTTTATTTCTCCCATTAAGTATTGACTTGCCTGTCTACTTTGTTTTATCTCATTTTCCTACCTCATGTTTTTAGTTTATTTATAAGGCTCTGCTTACTTAGGGCTTCACCTTTGTCATAAGTTTTGCTTGCTTGTGGCTCTCATGGCCTCATTTCTCTCTCTCTTTTTTTTTTTTTTTAACCCAGGCATGTGCCCTGACTGGGAAACGAACCAGCAACCCTTTGGTTTGTAAGCCCACTCTCAATCCACTGATCAGAGCCTCATTTCTGCATTGTTTTAGCTTCCTGTGTGTCCATTCAGCCTCTGTTCCCTTTGCTAATATGATTACTTTTGGTAGCCCATTTCTAATTCCTGAGAACATAAATTTACTAGCCTCAGCTTATCTCAGTTTGGTTAGATATTCATATACCAACAGCAACAGTTTGTGAGGCTTCACTTTCATGTTCTGCAATTAATACGATTATTATACCCAGTCTCTGCTTCTTTCACTCTACTTTGCTTCTTCTAGCTTCTAATGCATCTATTAATCACAGGCTTTTCCATCCTTTATTTCAGGAGCTGCAATTTGCAAATGCCTGCAGAGTTCAGATGGGGTATGTCAACATAAGAAACATTCAAACCCGTGGAAAATTTTTGTGAATTTATTTGAGCCAAACTGACGACAACTGCTGAGAAGCAAAACCACAACGAATTGAGAAAATGCTCCGGAGAATGGCAGTTTTGCACCTTATTTTATACATCACAATCAAAAGGGGAGGTGTAAGGGGGTTACATGAAGTCCACTGGTGATAGATTAGGGAGGGGGGAGAAAGCAAAGTGGGGAAACCTCTGGGATTGGATAAAAGATAAAATGATAGACACATATTTCTTACACTGGGGGGTACAACATAGTTAACAGTCAACAATTAACATGATAAGAGTAACAACAAGGTGATTTGTGGTCTCCCCATGGTGCTGTGCCTGTGCTTTGAGGCCCCGGTAAAAGGAAATTTGACATTCCAAAGGTCTGTTAGCATAGATGCAAAAAGTCAACGGACAGGCTCAGTTAAGGTAAAGATTAACCTTTGTTAGAAAAAATACCCGCCTAGGACATGATGACCCACCATGAACTGCTTTTAGTTAGAAAGTTTTAATTTCAGACCATCTTACGTGGTTACTTTAAGTTTCTGAGTTTGTAAGGCCACTACGCAGGCCTCCCCTGAGCTAGTCAGGTTTAGTGTGGCCCCTTTTCTTCCACAGGCAGATGTGTAAAATGGTTCTGATATTTATTTTCTTCCTTTTTCTTGAAACGCTACTTTGGGTTTCTTTTTTATTGTTGGTTTTATTTTGTTTTGTGTTGGGCTTTTCTTTTGTTTATCTACTTTTGATAGAGACACTGGAAAACAGATTACTCTTAAAATGAAAGTAAGAGTGTCAATGTAATGGTAAAGAGAAGTTGATGCTTTTAAGAGAAATATAGTAGGCAGTGTTTGGGATTGTGGTCCACTGGAACATGCACCTTTCATCCCAAGGAGAAGGCTTTTTACTCCTTGGCTCCTGCTGATAGTTGCCCAATGGAAATACAGACCAATATTGACAGGATTTCCAGCTTTCTACAAGGAACCTGATTGTGAGCTGTTAGTTTAATGTTTTTTTAATGCCACAGGCCCACACAGTGTGTTTATAAATGCTTTTATAAACTCATAGCTTTTGCTTCTTTGTAATTTTGGCATATTTGTAGTGTTACCTTTTTCCAATGTGGTATGAAACATGGGTGTTTCATACTCTGCCTGGACAGTATTTAAAACTGGGTTACTGTTTTGAATGGAGTTGTATAGATTAGAATAGAATAGATTAGGGAAAAATAGACTAATATAGAATGTAAATAAGAAAACACTAGCCTCTACCAGGCAAAGGGTAAGTAGTTGGTGAAATTTTTGTCACAGCTACATGTTTGTATGTATGTGTATCTTTGGCCTAATGTAATTGTATTTCTTATTGTGGATTAAATGATTTTACAAGACTTTATGAAACACTGTGAGCAAACTGGCATCCTGTGGAGTAAACCCCTTCTGTAGACAGGTCTCCTTTGGCCCACACAGTCTCTTAGAAATCTGATGGGTGCCAGAGAGTGGGGAGAGGGGGGAAACAGGAAGTTGTTTAATGGGTATAGAGTTTCAGTTTTGCAAGATAAAAAAGGTTTGGAGAATGTCTACTGAACAATGTGAATATATTTAACACTGCTGAACTGTATGTTTAAAATGATTAAGATGGTAAAAAAAACCCAGAATAAGAATAGCTCATTAAACAGCAAATTCACACAAGTCATCAGAATATCCTTAGACATGTTAAACATAGCATCTTCAAATTTAAAAGAAGTTGTATAACCATCTTTGATGCAGTCTTCCATTTCTCTATTTGAAGGGGCAGCAAACTATAGCCCATAGGCCAAATGTGGCCCACTGCTTGTTATTTTTTTTAAGATCCTATGAACAAACAATAGTGTTTAAATTTCTTAATGGTTGACAATAACCAAAAAGAGAATAATAGTACATGATATGTGAAAATCACACAAGATTCAGATTTCAGTTTTATTGGAACACAGCCAAACATTCATTTATGTATTGTCTCTGGCTCCTTTTATGGTACTGGTGGCAGAATAGGGTGGTTGTGACAGAGACCAAATGGCCTGCAAAGCCTCAGATATTTACTAACTGGCCAGTAACAGAAAAACTTTGAGGTTGCTGTATTGCAGCGGTTGCCAGATCCCTCACAATATCATCTTTGACAACTTTAAATGCCCAATTAGCAGCTTTGTCATGGACTACTAGTGACTATTATCATTCTATTCTAACATGTTGGGAAATTCTTACTTCCTTATTCCCTGCTGTGACACCCTAACCAATTCTGGAAAACACACATTCTTAGTCAGCTTCAGTTGTGGCTAGAATCCTGTTAGCAATTTCTGTTATTATTTTCAAGAAACAGACTTCTGCTGGGCCAGCCAGACCATTGGGATTGCCCATGGCTGTGTATAGCCAGCCTTTAAGGTAGGCTAAGATCCCACAGAGTCCAAATAAAGAAAATTTTGTATTTGAATAAAGACAATTAAAAAATGAAGAAAATAGCCCTAACGTGTGGCTCAGTTGGTTGGGTACAGGTCCACAAAGCGAAAGGTGTCTGGTTCAATCCTTGGTCACAGCACATGCCTGGGTTGTGGGTTCTGTCCCTGGTCTGGGTGCATGTGAGAGGCAACCAGTTGATGTTTCTCTCTCACATCAGTATTTCTCTTTCTCTGTCCCTTCCCCTCTGTCTAAAAATAAATATTTTTTAAATAAATAAAAATAAAATAAAATTCTGTTTCCTTTCTGAAGAGAATGGTTTGAGGATTGGAAATGGTTCCAAGACAGATCTGGAAATATTTGCAAACAGGCTTTGTGTCATTCATCTAGTATGCCACCTTTAACATCATTTTTTAAAATAAAAATGTATTTTGACTATACAACATGATAATTTGATCTTCATAGTGAAATAATTAGTCAAATGTTATAGTCTCACCTACTTACCATTTTTTTGTGTGAGAGCACCTGAAACCTATTCTCTTAGGAAATTTTCAGTATTCAATAGAGTATTAACTGTAGACATCCTACTATACATCACATGTCTTTGTCTCTGCTTCTTTTTACCTTCCTCATTGCTTACTCAAGTTTTAGTTTACCTCCTAGCTTTGTTTGTATTCTGCTTCCTCATAAACTTTCCAATACTCACCACTAAAACTTGCTTATTGCTACAATGTCCTTGGATATATCTCCCAACTCTGTCCTTTAAGATTCAACTCTTTTGGGCCTCACTCTTTTTGCATTTCAGAAACTATTTCTCAGTGCAAGAATTTCAGTGGCTTACCTCACCTCTGCTTGGGTAGTCATTTTCTGAGTCATTCAGTGACACCACACTTGGGTGTAGTGTGTCCCATTGCTAGTACATTCTGCTTTGAATGGCAGGATAGTCACATTTTAAAATTCATTGCTTTCTAGGAGTGCCTCTTTACTAGAACTATGGATGGGACAGTTTGCCTTAGATAGGACTGTGAGTGGCTATCACTTGATTCACATGTGTTTATATTGTATTTCTACATCTTGACCACTAAGCACATATGCCTGTCATCTCATATATGGATTTCTAAATATGCATCTATCTATACTTTTCCAGCTCTTAGTTAAGCAGAAATGTTGGAAAGTAATTAAGTCACAGCCAGATGCTATAATCTGAACTTACGTTATGATGTCACTTTAGAAATTTACCTGCCAATTACAGAAGCGCCCCCCTATCTGTGACCTTCCTTGACCACTTGACTGTTTTCTGCTTTTGTAATTGTACCAAAACACCTTCATTGGATGTGTGGTTCCATGATGATAACTTTGCCACAGTTCCTATAGGCTGTTAACATTGCGGCCTAGGTTGTGATGCGATATATCTGTTCACTACCCCACCACTGAACAACAACCAGGTCTAAACTATTGAAGGTTTGTTTTTGTAGCACAGCTCTATACAATTTTCTAAATTACATAGGATTTCTGGTTCCAAGAGGTAACACAGGCTTAGCTCAATGAATTAATGTTTACATATAGAGACACATAGTAAGTGTGGAGGAAGAACACTTTCCTCTACACTGGAGGTTCTAATAACCAAAAGACATGGGACATTATCAAGAGAAAAGAACCAAATTTAAGGCATACATATGTATGGAAATGCTGCATATGTGAGAGTCGGAGACCCATCATATAGGAGAGGTTCAGAGATAGAAAGGGGAATGGAGATACAAGACATCCCGAACTAGGAAAGAGGTTATGCGCCTTGGGATCTTCAAAGGGTTATTGCAGGGTGCTAAGGAGAGCAGATGTTTAGTAAATAGAAGTTTTCCCTGCCATATAGGTGCATCAAAAAGACTGGCTGATGTCTTCTTATGGGCAAGACCTGTAATTCAAGTTCTAGGTAGTTAAAGGGAGAGACAGAAGTTTCTCTTGAGCCTAAAGATAAAATCGTCTTCAGCTAAAAACAATCTGTATACCAGAGAGGCACTTCTTGGGATAGTTCATTCTGGATCCCCTACATAAAGTACCTACAGTAAGGAACATCAGAATTTCATAAGAATCTTAATAGCGTGGCATGGAACTGTATCTGTAGCAACTCTATGGACTTTAATAGTGGAGTTTGTGGACCTCTTCTGTTTCATTGATTTGATTCAGCTCTTCTTCCTATTCACCTTCCTTATTTAGGGTTTTCCACTCATCTTCTCCCTTATGACTGGCTTTGCTATTAACCTATCTTTGGTGAGGCTTTTAGTTTCAGCTTTTACTGCTAACAACTTAGTTCTCATTGTTCTATTCAAATTGCAAAGACTGAGAACCTAATTGTTCTGATTCATCTATATTTGTGCCCCACTTTTTCATGCTTAGACATGTCATAGGCTGCTGACAATGTATGGCTTGGTCCCATCAACTGTGCTCAGTGGAAAGGATGTAATACTGGATAATGTGAAAAAAACCCTTGGTCATCAAGAGCTGTGCTACAGCTGGGACAATGGACAAGGGTGGTAATCTTTAGAAAGAAGTAGATGTACTTTCAGTAGAGATCTAAACTGACACATTTAGTTTAATGGTTCTCAAACTTCAAGACCTATGGTCTAATCCATGGTATCCCATATTTGTTGAATGGTAACTGAGCACCATGTCTGACTATAACAGACAAAATCATGCTTTCCAGGATTACCACCTCATGGCTATATCAGAATTTGCACATCATTACAAGAAAAACAACTTTCAAACCATGCATTACTTGCTTCTTGGAGTTGCTACAATATAGCCACTACCAGTTGCCTAAGAATTCCACCCAAAATGGGTGCATGTATGAGTCATAAAGGCAATTGTATAATTAGTAGCTTTTCCACAACATAACCTGGAATTCTAAAAACAAAACAAAATGTTTCATCCTGGTATATGGAGTAAATTGTGTGTGATTTTCACTCTATAGTCACATCCTAACAATTCCAACTGTTTCATATTTCTGCTGAGGGTCTATTTCATACTAGTATATATCTGATACAAATTTCTAAACTCAGTTGGCTCTTTTGGTCTGAGGAAGTGAATCACTTATCCTGTCTCATTAATAGTGTTTTATTATGTGTATACATGTAGAACAAGGAGGAAGATGAGGATCTAATGGGAATCTAAATACAAGAATGATATTGAGTATGGGAACTAGATTCAAGCAGCTCTGGGCACCCTAACAGCAGGTATTTTTGGATCAACACTCACGTTGCTACACTACTGACATCACTCAGCCACTCTGTATTTGCTTCCCTCCTAGCTTAGTCGTTCTCTATTAGAGCTGTACATTAGAATCTAGGTGACAACTTTAAAAATAAATCAGACCACTTCCAGCCAAGATGGAGGCATACGTACACACTATGCCTCCTTGCACAACCAAAAAAAGGACAATTTAAAAACAAAAAACAACCAGAACTGACACAAAATCAAACTGTATGGAAGTCTGACAACCAAGTAGTTTAAGAAGAAACATTCATACAGACGGGTAAGAGGGGTGGAGAGGACTTGCAGCAAAGCAGCAGCTGGCGGACTTGGACGCGCAAGGTTGTGGCTGGTGGGCCCTGCGAGGTGGTGGATTGTGAAACAGGGTGCAGCCTACAAGGCTGCAGCTGGCCTGCAAGGCGGCGGCTGGTGGACCCGGTGGTCCCACATTCATGCACAGATAAACCAGGCGAAACTGGGGAGTGGGACAGACAGCACAACCCAGGGTCCCAGCGTGGGGAAATAAAGCCTCAAACCACTGACTGAAAACACCTGTGGGGGTTGAGGAGGCAGCGGGAGAAACTCCCAGCCTCACAGGAGACTTCGTTGGAGAGACCAACAGGGTCCTAGAACGTACACAAGCCCACCCACACGGGAATCAGCACCAGAAGGGCCCAATTTGCTTGTGGGTAGTGAGGGAAGTGACTGAAATCTGGCAGAGAACG